CAGATGCAGTAGAAAAGAAGAAAATGAACATCAATAATGAAAAAATCGTCGAGGTAAAACTGCAAAGAGATTTGCTTGGAAAGCTCTTGAGAGTATCGTTGAAGAAAACATTAAATATTGAAAAAGTTTTGACTTACCCCTTAACTCCAGTTCCTTTAGCGTTTTGCCACTTAGAAGGAACAATATGTAAAACCGATAAATCCGTTTTACTGCATATTCTGGAGAAAGAAGTGGAAAGTCATGAGCCCGAACAATGTGACGTCATGGTTTTCACGCTAGTAATGTCCCATTTGGTGCAGTTCTGTCCCAAGGGCATATCGGAAATGATTTACCTGTAACGTATGCTTCCCGAACCTTAAATGATAGCGAAGTATTATAAATTATTCCACCATCGAGAAGGAATTTCTTTGTATTGTATGGGCAACAAAATATTTCCGGCCCTTTTTGTATGATCGCAAATTCAATATAATAACAGACCATAACCCTCTTTAATGGCTATTTTCTTTGAAAGAACCGGGTTCGAAACTACTTCGATGTCGAATTGAGCTTGAATAATTCGACTATAAAATCTTCTATGAAAAAGGGTCATTAAATACTAACGCCGACGCCCTCTCCCGTGTCGAAATTCACGCCAACGAAACCACAGATAATTTTGATATTAGTCAATACATGGACGAGTTCAATCACATTCCCCAGCAAAAACAAAAATGACCATATCATTTGAAAAGAAAAAACGAATAAACGTACAAATCTCACAAAATTATTTTGAAAATGATATTCTGAACCTTATGAAAGATTATGTTACTCCCGATGTCCAATATCACTTATATTTTGAAAATCGAGAAATATATGAACCATTTTGCGAAGTTGTACGCAAATATTTTAAATGGCCCTCAATAAAATTAAAATATTGTCAAATTAAATTAATGGACGTTACTAATAAAGACGATAATCAGGAAATCATAAAAAACTATCACGAGGGAAAAACCAATCAAAGGCAAATTAAATCTAAATATTATTGGCCTTACTTGAAAAATTAAGTACAAAGTTATATAAATACTTGTGAGATATGTCAACGATGTAAATGCGAAAAGAATGAGTGGAAATGAACGTAACACCCACTGCTAATAGACCATTTGAAATTGTCCACATGGATGTTTTTACAGTCGAAAAAACCAAGTTTTTAACTATCGTCGACAGCTTTTCTAATTATGCCTAGGCATATCAAATTGAATCAGCGGAATCTGTCGAGCTCGCCAACCGCCTATTAAATTACTTTTCACATCACTCCATCCCAAAACAAATTATTGTAGATAATGGCGGAGAATTTAAAAATCTCTTGATTATTGAATTACTTGGTTTACACAAAATTAAACTTCATTTCATTTGCCCATATCACCCAGATTCAACCGGTATTGTTGAAAGATTCCACTCAACAATTTTAGAAAACGTAAGAATTTAAAATACCCGCGGATTTCTTAAACACCAGTCCACCTAAAAATGATTTACGCAATATTAAGGTACAATCGTAGAATACACTCCGCAACAAAATTTAGACCCATTGATATCATAAATGGCCATGTTTCGAGTAGGGCTCGGAATTGTATTCGAATAATTCGAACATTCGACTATTCGACTATTCTAAATTCGACTTTTTTGTTAGTTAGCTAATTCGACTATTCGAATATCCGACTATTCGACTATTCGAATATTCGACTATTCGAATATTCGACTATTCGAATATTCGACTATTCGACTATTCGAATATTCGACTATTTGAATATTCGAATATTCGACTATTCGACTATTCGAATATTCGACTATTCGAATATTCGACTATTCGACTATTCGAATATTCGACTATTCGGATATTCGATTATTTGAATATTCGGCTATTCGATTATTCGACTATTTGAATATTGGACTATTTAACAATGCAATTACTCACCCTATACATTACAAATTTGAATAAAATAATGTTTAGATTTTCAATACTTCCCTAAACGACTATTCCGGTTAGGTACCGGTATTTAATTAAAAATAGACCACTACTAACAGTACGACGAAGTACAAACTAACTAATATAAATGATTATCGGAATATTTGACTATTGGAATATTAGACTATTCGAATATTCGACTTTTTGACTACATATTCGAATATTCGACTATTCGAATAGGTATTCGATTATTCGACTATTCGAATTATTCAACTATTCGAATAAAATACCAAACGACTATTCGAATACTTGAATTTTGAAAATTCCGAGCCCTAGTTTCGAGTAATAATCCTTTTGATATCCAACTCGATCAACTTATAATCAAAGATTACGTAGAAAATCATAGGAAAAAACCAAATTATTAAACGCATAGAACGCTTTATTGAAAGTCAGTTTAAGGCGATAATACCGCGTAACAAATATTTAATAAAAAATTGTACTACACATTCGAGAACAACTACTGCAAGAAAGTCACCCCAGGCTACTACATGTGTAAACAAGCCAGGCTCCAAAAAATAGCCGAAGACAACCCTTGCGAAATCCAACTACTAGACAGCAAGAACCCTTCAACTTGTCACAAAGTTCCAATTTCAATTACCAAATTGAACCTAGAACGTATTGGAGATACCAATTAGTTTATTGGCTTACTTCCACGCCAATAAAGTATTAAGCTAACTTGCAACACTCAAGAAGAAACAATCCGACTAATTGGTACATACCTATTTGATGTACCCATTAATTGCCGAATAACAACAAGCCTAGGAATCTTCACCAACGAAAAACCAATAACCACGAGACAATTGAGTATATATGAGTCGTCCAATCCCGAGAAACGCCAAAATTCGACATAGAATTGGAAAATGTTCGGCTCGATGAACTTCACGCCATTAGAAGTCAAATACTAAACAATAAGGCCAATATCCAAATGGACCTACTGGGCCAGACTCCAAGCCCATGGACTTTATTAATTTATGTATTATTGATTTTTACAGTTATCTATATCTGCTACAAGAAGTTTATCGTTCCAAGATGCATCAAAAAAAGAAACCAAGAGGCACCAGCCACTTAACTTTCAGAGGTTCAACTTCCACTCTAACCCTCGAAGTTGAATTTTAGGAGGGAGGAATTATGTGACCATCTACCCCTATAATACCATGTAAAATCCAAGTCAACGTTCTGCACATTCAGCAAGAAAGAAGATACAAAACTAGTTTCCACGCCGGCGCCGCTTCGCCTCAGTCAGTCTGAAGCTTTCGCTCTATACTTTTTAATTATTAATCTATGTAATTTTCGTAATCTATAGATATAAAAATTAATGCCACTTTTCGTTGTAATTTAATAACTCAAGAACGGGCTCACCTAGCCAAACCAAATGTTTAGGCTTTGTTCGGACTATTTATTAGATGGTTTATGTGAAGTTTGCACAAAATCGGTCGAGCGGTTCTCCATTTATCACATTTTTTGTAATAAATGAATTATTCAATAAATGGAGGATCATTTTGTTAATGGGGATTTTGCTGTCAAATTGAAACTTTTTTCAGCGTTGACAGTACCAGCATGTTGTTATGTCATTAATGTGGTCATTTCATTACTTATTTTATTTATTTATGAAAAAAATTTACTAAGCCCGCATACGGCGCCATCTCTTATAACCGATACCAAGTTTATTTTGTATTTTGTATACCGCGCCATCTCTGATACCTGGAACGAAGCTCGGCATTGCAGATACAGTAGAACAATGCTGCTCAGGAACTGGAGCTATTTCGAACAGAACTATTCCACTACTCCGATCAGATAGAGTGGTGCAGAAAGAGTAGATCAGATAGAGTAGTGCAGATAGAGTAGAACAGATGGAGTAGTGCAGTGCATGCAGTGCAGATAGAGTGAAACAGGGCTGCGCTAGAGATTTTTTTTGTTTTCTTTACATTCTTTGAACATTCCTGTGCCTGAGTTTATTTATTTGGTGGTACACTTTACAAGAATAATGCCCACAAGCAGCCTAAAAAGGGGTGATGTAAAATTTTAATTTTAGGTGACTTCTGATCTAGAGAGTAAACATAAATTTTCTTCAACCAAAGCCAAATTCACCATCGAAAAAAACTGAATTTAATTCAGCTAATAGATACGTTAACACAACATTTAATAGGTATATTTAATAATTCAGAGGCGGTACGAAGTTCGCCGGGTCAGCTAGTAAATAATATTTTTAAAAATAGACATTGGCATTCCGGTTATTTAATTCAATGAAGAAAATTTAGCACGTGGATTTAAAATAATAACATAAAGAAGAATAATAATGATAGCTGAAGCTTGACATTTAATTAAGAATTTTGCTTACTTTAAAGTCAAAAAAATGGGGGGTCTGGTGGTCCAGCTGATGGCCCTCGGATTTGTTTCAATTTTTTTTTGGTGCATGGAAAAGACCACAATTAGCACTCACGCCTGCACAATTGAGCACAAAACGAGCACAATTGAATTATCCAGAAATATTGAAGAAAAATGGGGGCTGGCGGTCAAGCTGGCCCCCGGATTTGTTTCAATTTTTTTTTTTGTTGATGTATGGAAAAAACACCATTTGCATTAACATCGGCACAATTGAGCACAAAACGAGCAGAATTGACTACAATTGAGAAACAGTACAAAACCGAATGTGGGGGCCAATTTGACCAAGCCTTAACTTATCTAATAATTATTTATAACAATTTCAACAGAGATGTCAAGGAAAAAAAACCTACTATAATAATTGTTTTCTTCCAATTTATGACAATAAAAACACAATTAGCTAGGTACCTGTTTTCTATGTGCACACAATGACTATTAAGAAATTAATTATTCAGCAATCGATTGTTTTTTTTCTTCTATTATTTAACTGAACGTTAAATACACAGACACGCACTACTATAATAAAAGATGGTCTTAAAATAACTATGATTGTTTTGTGTTACAAACGCATGCTGAATGGGAATTTACTACAATAAAACTGCTGTGTGTCTTTGGGATTAAAATAAATCCTTTTAATCTTTATCTATTGACGTCGCATCCTATACGTTATTTCGAAGCCAATTTAATTCCTAATCCTTATTAGGTATGTACCTACACACATCTATACAATTTTTATCGAACATATGCAATTATTCCACAAGCTAATGGTTTCCCAGAATTTCCATCAACCAAACTATTGGCATTGTCTGCTTGCCCCAAATCATCTTCTTTTTCTGTAACAACCAAGGCTCTTCCTACGATTCCTCTAGGACCTCCTGATAAAGACATAATAGGATCTATAGTGACTATTTCAGCGACTCCATCGTCTTTGGCTTCAACGTTTCCCAAGTCACCTACGTGGCGGATTGCGGATTTTGAGCCACCATGATGGACCTAAATGATAAAGAATCAAAAAGTGGGTAGGTAAGTAATGAAGTAGCTACTTAATCTGAACTTACCAAATAGGGGTTGAAATGGCCACCAAGTTTATCACAACCATCCCTCAGATCACCGGCTTGATGAATATGAAGTCCATGTTTTCCTGGAGATAAACCTGTAATATTACCTCTTATAAAAATCGGTCCCACTGGGGGATGCTTTTGGACGAAGACTATTTCTCCTTGGACGCCACTTTCTTCTACGCTTGATAGAATTGCAACAGCAGCTCGTTGTCTAAGATCCTATAAAAAAAAAATGTTGAAATATACTCGAAGTTTTTTTGATTGGGTACTTTTTCACATCATATGTCAAAATCGTCAGAGCCGGATGATCAATTCAAATAATATTAATTTATGTCACAAGTGTGTCGTTGGGGGGATGATGGGATGATGAAGATGATGAAGAACATAGATCTTGAGGATATTATTTCCAAAGACATGGTTCTGAAAGACTGAAAGGCATAGTAGTACTGCTGGTAGGATATAGATAGAGAATAAAAGATGGAGTGGATATTGTTAGCTGGAAATTTTTTCAGAGGATCCTGGTATTCCTGGTGGTAGGGTAAAAACTGGAATGATGATTTTTTCTCAATTTTTGAGTCGCCCTGTGTGTTAAATTAAGTAATGATATAGAAAGTGCTTACACTCTATATGAAAGGCGCTGCTTTTACGAGCATTCTGTTTTTTAATTCATTGATTTACCTTCAAAATGCCCTAACCAAAGTTTTGAGACGTATTTACACAGAGAAAGACACAAAACCAGATATGGTAAATACTGGCTCCTAGGAGAAACACAACGTATGAGAGATTTGCAATCAATAACCGAAGTCAGAGGCCAGAAGAGCCGTTTGATCACTTCCTTATTAAACTGAAAAAATTGATTTAAACTTGTGAGTATAATACTCAGGGCGGGTATTATAAAACTATTTTGTCAGATAACTTCTGGAATTACTTTGAGAAGTAACCTTCCAGATTCCAGAAGTTAACTTTTAGTTATTCTGTCAAAATGGTTTTATAATACCCGTCCTCAGGAAGACATTATTTTAATAGATATAATACTAGTGGTAAATTACCCATTTATTCAGGAAAAACTTTTAAGCATTCAAGGTTTAACAAATGGATCAAGCCCTGGCAATGTGCAGAAATACTGACCTTACAAAAAAACAGCTGAAATCAGTACGAAATATGGATTCTGGTGTTTCTGGAGTAGATGCAGTAAAATGCAATCGAAAACATAAATTTGCAAAACGTCTAGCATTGGAAAAACATGTCACAAGTGTGGAAGAAAGATTCATTTTAGTAATGCTTCCCTAACAAGGGCACTGCGACGGCAACAAAAAGTCTCGGAGAAAGTAAAAGAGATTCGGTTGACAGTTCGGGTTCGGAAAGTGAAGACTTATTCGAGCATTCTTTGGAAAAAGTTGGTGAAGTTAAAAATAAAAATAATTCAGTATGGATTGAAAAATTAAAAGTGCATAATAATGGTAATAAAGATAGATACTGGTTCCGAAAGGGATATTTCACCTAGATGTTGGTGAAGTGCAATACTGAAAGCCTATGGACGGTGGAGTAAGTTTCAAATCAGTTGGAAAAATCAGCTTGCAGTGTGTAAGGTTACTGGTTAGGTAAATTATAGGTATAAGTTAGAATTTTTGATTGTAGATTTAAATGTTATAGGTTAAAAATAATTTAGCACGCTTAAAGTGTACAAAAGGTTAAACAGGGGAAGAGACTAGTCAAAATATTCCTAAGAACTTAAATATAAATAAGAAATTAATCAGTGATGTTTTTGAGAGCATAAAGGCACTTTTTCAGATACTTCTATAAAATTGAACCAAAAAAAAAAAACAAAATATCAGTGGCTAGACCTGCTCGTCGGGTTCCTATAGCTATTAAAGATAGATTAAAACAAAAATTAGGTAAACCAGAGCAGCAAGAAGTTATAAAGAAATTAGATAATGCTAATGAGTGGGTTAATAACCTGGTTATAATTGAAAAGCCAGATAAAGCGTCAAGACAATGTTTGGATTCACAGGATTTAAACAATTGTACCTATATAGAAAGACAATACAATAAAATATCAAGCTTGGAAGATATTAGGGCTAGGTTGTCAGGAATTCATTTTTTCTGTACTTGATTTTAAGGATGGGGTTTCCAAGTAACCCTTGATCAGGAATCTAGTTCTTTAACATTATTTTCTACTCCATGTGGTTGTTACAAACCTATGACACTACCGTTTGGTTTAAATTTGGGACCTGAATATTTTCAAAGAATAGAATATCAAAATTTTGGAGATATTGAAAATGTAATCATAAACAGGGTGTTCCAAAAAGATACCGACAAACTTTAAAGGGTAGTAAGGGACATCCAAACAAGCATTTTTGTTTATATAAACATATGTCCGCAAATGAGCCATTTGGGCTGTAGGGCAAAAAAACTGTTCGGTACTTTTATTCTTCGCAATAATTAAATCACTGTTTACTTATTATTTTTGCTTTATTATTAACAAATAAATTATGGTTCACAATAATTGTTCAAAATGTTGACCATTTACTTCAATGCAAAGATTGCACCGTCGGGTCATCGACTCGCGAACCCTTTGGAATATTCCAGGAATAGCATGGGTACGACTCGCCAGTATCCTTGCTAACAGATCTTCCTCATTACGAACAGGTGTTTCGTAGACTAAACTTTTCAGAGAACCCCAAAGAAAAAAAATCTAGAGGGTTGAGATCAGGAGAACGCGCGGGCCAGGCCACGGGACCTCCTCTTCCAATCCAGCGTTGGGGAAATCGCTGATCTAAATACCGGCGCACATTTACACCGAAATGTGGAGGTGCCCCCGTCATGCTGAACCCACATCTAAGGTTTAAGGGGATATTTTCCAAGAAGAGAGGCAAACTATTTTCCAAAAAATGGAGATAAATATCTGCGTTCAAACGGTCAGGCAGCAAGTAAACTAGTAGTGTCTCTCCAAGAATACCAGCTCACATGTTCACAGAAAATTGTTGTTGATGTCTAAGACACAGCGTGCGGATTTTCATCATGCCAAACATGGCTGTTCCTGCTATTAAAATAACCATCGCGCGTAAAATATGCCTCGTCCGAAAACAATATTCTAGAAAAATCAGGTTCGTTGTGATCTAAAAACCAGTGGCAAAAAAACAATCGGTGTGGATAATCTTCCGGATTTAGGGCTTGTACGCGTTGTAAATGAAAAGGGTAGAGAAGTTGTTCCTGAAGGACTCGGTGTACCGTCATCCTAGACGATATTTATATACTTATATTGCAGATTATTTATCTGGAAATGTGAGGAGTGGATTGGCGGAAGATGATGAGTAATGAAAGAAATATTGCATTCAGTTGAGAAATATTTGCAAATGAGTGAAAGGAGAAAAGAACAGTTTAGAAAAAAAAAACTTAAAGGATGAGGTATTGAGTAAAGTTATTGAATGTTGTTTGAATGGTTGGAAAAATAAAAAATTTGAAGAACTGGGAATTTTTTTATAACTTAATAGCTGATTTGTATGAAAATGGCAATTTTATTTTTTATAATGACAGGGTGGTGGTTCCTCAGATATTACGAAAAGATATGCTAAAAGCAGGTACTTCATGAAGGTCATTTTAGCATAACTAAAAAAAAGGGCACGGAGTGTATTATTCTGGCCTGGAATGTGCATAGATATTAATTCGACAATGTCAGTAATGTAAAAAATACGTATAGATATGTTAATGTGAAGGAATCACGATATTCCTGAGTTACCTTTTCAAAAGTTAGGTTGTGACATGGACTATGGAGGATAATCATATTTGGTAATTGTTGATTATTTAGCAGTGGTTGAAATCATGTTTTTTGAAAGAAAACAGTCTTTCCATGTTATAAGTGTTTTGAAACAAATATTTGCGCTACATGAAATACCTGGTGTTATAGTGATAGATAATATGCCTTTTAATTCTTATGAATGCAAATTTTTTGCGAATTAGTTTGACTTTAAATTTCAGACAAGTAGCCCTAGAATTTGTAATCAAATGGACTTGCTGAAAGATTTGTGCAAACAACTGAAAAACATTTTCCGTGAATTAGATGATTTGTGGGTTGCTTTGAGGGAGGATCGTAACATGCCTTAAATCTTGAAAGGTGTCATGCTGAACTCTTATTATTTTCTAGAAAATAAAAAAACTAAGTTACCTTTGCTTAAAGAACCCAGTTTTAAAATCAAAGAATTCAGGAATAAATTATCAATTAAAAAAAAAATATACAAGAAGTATCATGATAAACATGCCAAGGAAAGGTCAGACATTGAGGGTCTGCGTCATGCAACTATACTATCCATTCATGAAGCTCCTAGGTCTTACTTCGTAGTATCAAGAAGCTCTAAGCTCTAGGTTCACCGATCATATTATAGGTACTTAAATCAAATCAATAATATCCATTGTAATTATTTAGTATTTCCCAATGTTTTTCCATAAATCGGTGAAAGGTAAGATGTAGTAATAGTCATTAACGTTAGAATAAGACGAATAGGTATAGGCACTCCCTTATATCCTTTTGACATAATACATTATTTAGTTAGGTTAGGGGATATTGTAGTTGTTGTCTGTGTTGACATGAAATTAAAAAAAACTATTCAGTAACAAGTTTGTTTTATTTATAATAATTATAGATAATAATGCAGCTAGATAACCTCAACGCGCCAACTATCCTAAAAGACGCCCCGCTCTGGTAGACAAAGAACTACAACGAACAAATATCACTATTACCGCCCTAAGTGAGACTTGCTTTTCGGAGGAGGGAAGCCAGGTGGAACAGGCATACACATTTTCTGGAGGGATCTACCAGCGGTTGAAGCGAGAAAACACGGAGTAGGATTTGCCATAAGAAACGACCCACGTATTTCAACACTACGCACGTGCCCTGGACGCATCTGATGAAGTGAGAACACCTCTTACGATGCCCTCATGAAAATTCCAAGACTTAGGGTGGGCAAAATATGGGGGGGGGGGCTCGATACAGAATTCTAGCCAGGGGCATAGGCAGAAATGGCACAGACACATCAACTTCAACGGGGAACGATTACTTGCTCTGTGTGGGGAACATGGAACATAACCTATGGCTAAAACACATATTGTATAAGCAAACCAAACGCCAAAGGAACGTGGTGCCCCGCTCAGGCCATTGGCACACCCTGGATTATGTAATCGTCAGGCGAAAGGTCCTAGACGACGTGCTAATCACCAAACCCAGAGCAGACATGGAATTTTGGACAGACCACAGATGTTTTGTCGAACATTAAAGCCTAATATCAACGCAAACCAAAATTGAAACTAGAACGCATGCAATTACCAAACCTAATGAGCCAGCTACTGTGAAGCGCTTATCAACTACAGTAAAAAATACTCTTCCACCGGCAACCTTCTCCGACGGTCAATGTTCTCGCTTAAGGACAGATATCTCCAGATTCAGCAAAAGACGTACTAGACTCAGAACCATCTCGCAAGTCGCCAGATTCATTCAACAGAGTAAGCATAATGTCTAATCTCCTAATCTTACTAATGGAAAAAATCCTACCAGAATCTGAGTGCGGCTTCCGCCTCATATTGGATCAGGCTTGGACGTCTTCTGGAAATGCCGAGGGAAATGCTTTGCTGGCGTACCTAAGCTTCGACAACGGTAGCAGATTTGGTCATTGGTCCCGGAACGTCAGCAAACCAGTTCCAGAAGGCGCCTGATACTAATCCAGTATTATTGTATTGAAATAAAAGTCGAAGTGAAGAGTATTTTATTTTATAAAAATAATTAGGGTAGGCCAAATAGACAGAAAGAGAACATCTGAAAACGAGTACTTATGCTTTTCAACATCAAGGAACTTCGGTGGATAACTTCCATTGAGGTTTAATACCCAAAAAATATCAGGTAAGTACTTATAAAATTTAGTATCAAAAGGGATTGTTTTTTAAAATTAAGTGATCATTGAATTTTGTAAAGTCAATTAGGTCAATAAAAGTTATTGTTGTTAGTGTAGTATACAGCGCCAGTGGTCGGTACGAGAAGGAGCGCGCATGACAAGGACGCACTTGTCTGTCTAGGCGGGCGAGATCGGGGAGTGTAATGAGTTCCATGGCGGGTGGTGAACGGGCGGTATGAAAATGAGAAATATAACTACTATAACTAACAGTATTGGTATTTTATTTGTACCGTGATACACAATAAATAATACAGTGGCGACGAGGATGGGATAGAAAAGCAGAAAGGCAAAGAGTACGGAGACAGAAAAAGGAAAGCAAAAGAAGACAATCTTCAAGAAGGAGACAAAGTATATATAAAAAATATGAGAAAAGATAATAAAGTATGTTCTAACTTTATTCTTACCCCTCACACTGTGATAAAAAAAAAAAACTGGTACAGACGTGCAAGTTAAAAATGACGAAACAGGTCAAGAACTAAGAAGGAATATCGTTCATGGAGATGGAGAGTGGACGGTAGTACCGGAAAAAGAAACGCTTGTAAAGTTAGCACCCGATTTCCAGCAACGATTTCTCACATTACCGCCAACGGTAGTTAAAAAGGTCAATTATGGTATAAATTCTACCATTTTGGACGTCGGCTATGATCTTAGAGCAGGTAAAGCGCTGTCCTACAGACATAGGGAGTAGGAACGCGCCATTCTGCTATGAAACTAAAAGTGAAGCCAGTTTTTAGCAGGTGTTTGTAGACCAAATGATAGGTGAAGCATTGAATTAGCTATACCGCCATTATTTTGGATCTCAAAATACCTGGAGAAAAGCGGCTTCATTTTCCAACTCCATATTCCAACTCCATGTTCCTACTCCTCCCACCTAGGACATTACCTGCTCTAAGGCTATATAGGTATATTTTTTTATTGTTTGGATTTTTTTTTTCAATGAAGGTCTAAATATGGGCAGGTTTTTATAATTTCTACAGAAAAAAAAAAACATTTCATCGGTAGGTTTGTTATCGAAACAAAGTCAAGAATGTATTTTCCAACACAAAATTGCCATGACAGAAAACATTTATTTTTTTTCAAAAAAAATAATGATGTGTCACTAATTTTTTGTTTTAAAATGAAGGTGTGATGGTAAGCTTCCATAATATTCACCAGGGAAAATGTTTTTATCTGTAGAAAATGTTCTATCAGTGAAAATTCAAGAAGGTGTTTTCAAACACGAAATCAATATGACAGAAAATATTTTTTTTTTCGAAAAATAAAAGATGTGTCACACTTTTTTTTTTTAAATGAAACTATGATGGTAGGCTTCCATAATATCCGCCAGAGAAACATTTTTCATCGGTAGAAAAATTTTTATCAGTAAAATTTCAAGAAGGTGTTTTCAAACACGAAATCAAAATGACAGGAAATATTATTTTTTTCGAAAAATAAAAGATGTGTAACACTAATTTTTATTTTAAAATGGAGGTATAAGGGTAGGCTTCCATAATATTCATAAGGGAAAAATTTCCCATTGGTAGAAAATTTTTTATCAGAGAAAATTGAAGCAGGTGTTTTCAAACATGCAATTTATCTCGATCTGTTCTACAAAATCACTCGAGCTGCGCTCTCGTGATTTTGTCGGAACAGCTCTCGTTAAATTTCCTAAAAGTAAGTATTCGAGACCAAGCCAAAAAATATCCGGCTAAATCTGAGCTCTTATGGTATTACCTACGATAAAAAAAAGTTTATCAGAGAAAATTCAAGAATGTGTTTTCAAACACGAAAACAAAATGACAGTAAATATTTATTTTTTTCGAAAAATAAAAGATGTGTCACTCAATTTTCTGTTTTAAAATGAAGGTATGATGGTAAGGTTTCATGATATCCACCAGAGAAAAATTTTCAATCGGTGGAAAATTTGTCATCGGTGAAAATTAAAGAAGATGTTTTCAAACACGAAATCAATATAACAGGAAATATTTTTTTTTTTTTTTGAAAACTAAAAGATGTGTCACTCTAATTTTCGTTTTAAAATTGAGGTATTAAGGGTAGGCTTCCATAATATTTACAAGATAAAAAAAAAATCACCTGTAGGAAATTCAAAATCAGTGATTATTCCACTCATTATGAAATAGACCAATCAGACGTCATTTTTTGAATAAATTTTGTTCAAATAAGTGATTATTAAATCACAAGAGCCGGTTTATTTGCGATTACATTTTTTATCCCATTTAGAAAAAGGTGTTTTCAAACACGAAATGGACACGACAGAAAATATTTTCACAAAATCACAGGATCCACAGTATTCCAGCGAGAATTATATGGAAACAATATATTCTAGGAACATTGTTTTATTTGATAAAAAGGAAGCTACGCCGAGATTTTTTTCAAGGAGCTTTTGCACAACATACTCACATAAACAATTTAAAGTGTGATGTGAAAATTACTTACATAATGATATGGTTCTTGATAAACTTCATACAGATCACTTTGATAATTCGCGATAGCAGGAAAAGCCTTTATAGTTAACGGTTTTCCATTCCCCGAAATTCCATAAATCGTGTTTTTATTACCCAAATCTTGGAGAGGCACTCCATGAAGTAACCCAAACAGTCCTAAAATTATTATTGAAAACATTTGTGCGAAAGAATATTGAACTTTTTCTTATTAATTGCGACTGTTCAATGTTAACATCTTCCACAAAATTAAAGAGTGTATTGGGTAAGCATTGTATAAATACGTATTTTTTTTTCATGACACATGAAGCGTGAATGTATCATAGTCATTGAACATCTCTCGATAATTAATGTTTTACGTTAATAAATCCCTCAATTGACAGAAGAATTAAGTGTTGTTTTTTGTTAAGTATATAGGGAGAGAAAATTAAGTATCAAAATATGCTTTGGAACACATAAATTCATATACTTATTTTAAGAAATTTTAAGGAAAATTTTGGTCCAAAAAATATCTTTACTTACCTACTTATCTCGGCATACCTGATGGGTCGAAATTGGCTCCATAGTAGAAAAATGAATGGTGAATCGTATAGGGGCATTGGAAGCAGGTCGACATGTTGACATGGCGGTAAATTCATATTACGATATTAAACACATCTCCAAATATGCATATAAGTGATAATTACAATAATAAAAAGTATATTAGCTATAGGATGGATGACACTTGGAGAATTTATCAACGGTGTCAGCCATCACCCTATAAGACTGTATGCAGTAAAAAAAAGTGCTGCTAGAACCATATTTTTTACACGCCGTTCGATTCTACTGTCTTTGCATTGCTAGTCCATGTGTCCAATATTTCTCAAAAAGTCTCCGCATTTTTTTGATATATGAAACTTATTATCAGGGCCGGCCCTACCATAAGGCGAACGGAACGAGCATAATCTAAGGAGCGAGCGCTCCAGGCGCCAGACCGCGCCTCCACTCGTTCCTTGGTGATGAAAAAAGAGAAGAATATATTTTTGCTCTGAATCCTGTCTTCGCTTTTCGATAATCTGCTTACGAGCAAGCGTGTGGTTAGTATCTGCTAAGATGAAGATAGAAACATACTATATAGATTAGTCAATATCCATGCTCGCGCATACTTGATTCATACATGAGAAACTCATTTGCATTTTATTATTATTTATCGGTCATAAACAGAAGCCGAAACCCAACCAGTAGGTTGGGTACTAGCTTTATGCTCTGCCTATTCCACAATACACTTTTAACGATTATATCCAAATTTATTGCAAGGTTAGTTTTTAAAAATTTATGGGCAAAAGGGTAACAAGGCATAGGGTGAATATTACGAATTAAGCATCTGCGGCCTGCCCTGAATGACCTTGTGTTATTCACATCAGGTATTACTGAAAGGTACAGTCATGAGCACAAAAAGTGGGACACCCGACTGACAGGTCTTGTCATTTTTCGCTATTTTGCGTAAATCAGTCTTTTCTCTACAACCGATTTTTTGTCAAATATGACAATCCCTGTCATCGCCATAGGTATAGCTGGTGAGCTCGTTTTACGCAATAAGAAAAAACGGGTGTCCCACTTTTTGTGCTCACGACTCGACTGTACGTTCTCGTCGTTTATTATTTAATTTCGCCCGCTGGTTACTATTATTTAGTGCCAATAGGAATCTACAAATTTTGTTCTAGCCTAATTCCTTATTCGGAAAAAAAAAACAAATATTGCCGTATCCAAGCCAAAATCAAATACGGTCCTGAACTCTGAACAGGGCTGTCATGAATTATTTTTCCCATTGCTTTCTCCAGTTTGAGGAAAATAAGCACGTGGTCGAACAATACAGTAAAAGAGGCAGGTGAATTATTGAATATTACGACATTTCTTATATTGGTGGATAGAGTAACTATTCGATTCACATTTGAATTAGGGCGCCAAAGTCGGACCTCGCACCTCGCTCCATTCTAAAAGTAACCTCGGGCCGGCATTGCTTATTATCTGCTGTACTCTAAACTATTTTACAATAAATTAAATAGTAATAAAAAACCAAATAGGAATGAATGTACTGAATCCCAATTCTTGAAATAACTTAATTCACCATAACACAATTCGCTGAACAATGCATTCGGTACTTAGCTGATAACTTGGAAGAATGTCATAGACGAAATATATATAAATACATATCTTATAAAGATTATTATCAGAGCATATAGATACGCTCTTTATTATAATATGCGATTTTCCATTTTGCACACTGAATATTTTTAAGCAATCAAAAAGCCACGTGTTATTACTACCTATATTGTTGATGACGTTACCCTTCCTTTGTGCGTGAGGTCATGTACATTTCTTGCAGCTAATAATTACAAATATAAATAGGCAAGATGTTTAATTGTTAGATTGGATGACAGTGATTAGTAAACAAAGACCTATTTTTTTTTTTTTTGAACTGCTCAATTAGTTGTTGATTGAAATATGTAAAATATTTTTTTTCGTCATGAATGTCAAGTGGTAAGAGCTCGGCTAATAATAGTAGATACCAGAAGAAAATTGACTACCACCGAGACTACCACTATAAAGCAAATGTTTGGGTATCTTTTTAGTGGTGTAAACGAAAACACACTCCATTGAACACACAAAATCATGTCCTCGTTTAACCTCCACAGTTACCTTCACTAACCACGTAAAACTCAATGGTAGAAATAGTTTGTCTCTTTGCCTCGAAATAAATTATATAGGAACGACGAAGTCTGTTTTTCGAAACTTTTATTTTACAAAAAAAAAATTGAATAATAAACTCACGTAAACTGATAATATGACATTCGTAGTAGATTAATAAGGAAATAATCATCAACAAATACATAGATGGGAGAGGGAGCAGGTTGGGAAAGGGGAGTTTTGTTATGTTCAATGATGAAACAAACTCTGAAGCATGATTACTGAAACCCATTATGTAATGCAAAATGGATATAAAAATTTTATGATTAACCATATCGAATGCTTTTGTGAAGTCCAGCAATATTATAGCACAAGCACCGTTTGTGTCCAAGGCCTTAAAAATGTCGTCTGTAAGAGCAGTAGCGCAGCTGTAATCGGCACGAAAACCAGACTGCTTTTCCGGAATTATCTTATTTGTGCTCGGAAAACCAGCACTCTAAATTTCCATAAATTTTTCGAGAACCTTCGAGAGTGTTGGAAGCACAGAAATTGAACGAAGTTCATTGAGATCCTGAGATCAGTAGGATTACCTATTTTGGGAAGTGGCCTCACAGGAGCCTGTTTCCACTGTAATTAGAAATATGATTTTTGGATACACGTGTTTAAGATATGAATATTACCTAGCTAAAACCAAACCGATTGTGAGTTAGTGTACCGTTACCAGAAAATGAAATTAGGTTCTCATCAGGTTGGTTAAGATTTCCTGACTACCAAACTAATGGTTGTTGCTATATTGATATTAGACCTCGGCTTGACATTTGATGCTGCTACTGTTGACCGTCAGATAACGCCTCCATCCTTAGAGGTAACTACACCTTCTGGAGGTAATTATTGGATTGGCAACTGGGCTTCTGCGCTTCTGAACTTCTGCACAGGGGATGGTTTTCTAAATCATAAGGTAGCTACCAAGCTACCTCAGTACTAAAACGATAAAATTACAATTTTTTGTTTGTTGAGATTTTGTGTCAAAATGGTCCTTTGGGATCCCCCGAACTCCATACACTAAATTATTCCGAGATTTGGAGCCGGATTCTATGGAAAAAGACACTCTGAAAAATTGATAAATTACCCCAAATTGCTTAACACTACTTTATTTCTGGAACTATAAGTCCAAATGAGCTGAAATTTTCAGGAATTGTAGTCCTTTACTGGAATAAGAATCGCTGAAAATTTCAGCTTTATATCTTTAATAGAAAAAAAGTTATGACCTCCCAAAGTTTTCCAATATCCAAATCATAAGTTCGATCAATGCCTTCCATCGTGTGAACACATATTTGTGCGCTCCAGCTGTTTATTATAGTTTTTTTTTTTTACTTCAAGAATAATTTGAAAGTGTAAGAGTTAAATCGAGTGAATTGAGTGCAGTGAGTTGTGTTCTGCAGGTTTTTACATTTGTTCTCTGAGTTTTCAAATCCCTATTTAATATTTTGAAAACCACAGCAAACATAGCCTGGCTGTCTGCTCATTATAGTCCTACCAGTAAAGGGTGTCCCAAAAAGATACCGACAAACTTTAAGGGGTAGTAGGGGACATCAAAACAAGCATTTTTGTTTATATAAACATATGTCCGCAAATAAGCCATTTGGGCTGTAGAGCAAAAAAACTGTTTGATACTTTTATTCTTCGCAATAATTCAATCACTGTTTACTTATTAATTTTGCTTTATTACCAAATAAATTATGATTTACAATAATTGTTCAAAATGTTGACCATTTACTCCAATGCAAAGATTACACCGTCGGGTCATTGACATTGACATTAGTCTACGAAACACCTCTTCGTAATGAGGAAGATCTGATAGCAAGGATACTGGCGAGTTGTACCCATGTAGAAGCTATTCCCGGAATATTCCAAAGAGTTCGTGAGTTGAACAATTATTGTAAACCATAATTTATTTGCTATTGAAGCAAAATTTATAAGTAAACAGTGATTTAATTATTGCGAAGAATAAAACTAGATATCAAACAGTTTTTTTGCTCTACAGCCCAAATGGCTCATTTGCGGACATATGTTTATATAAACAAAAATGCTTGTTTTGATGTCCCCTACTACCCCTTAAAGTTTGTCGGTATCTTTTTGGGACACCCTGTATATAAATTGGTACTCAACATGCCTCCGACTAGAAGCACAAGCACAAAAGAAGACTCTACAGAAGATCTAATCAACAAGGTATGTGCTAATTTTTCTGATAGAGTTGAGGCAAAGATTGATAAGAAAATTGAACAACTTACCAACTCACTAGATGTGAAAATAGACAAGATTAGCAATTCTCTGAAGGTTGTAAATGATAAAACGCAAAGCAACGCCAAGAATATTAAGATTCTGGAAGAAAAGTATGATTTCGTGGACCAAAGTTTGAAAGGTAATTCGTTAAGGCTAATTGGACTGGAAGAAAGTGAAGATGAAGATTTGATAGGGAAGGTGATAGAAGTCTTTAAAAATAGCTTAAACATATTGTGTGTTCCGGAAGACTTCGACAAAGTTCATCGAGTGAGAAAGCAT